GATACTCTGACCTCAGCATTCATGAAGATTTGTATAAACTTGTTCAGTATTCATGTGAAGAGATGTGCTCGACCAAGGAACAGGTGAATAAGGCTATGAAGCTTTGGACTACCTTCTTGGAACCAATGCTTGGTGTTCCATCTCGACCTAATGGTATGGATGGTGCTGATGGTGTTGGAAAAGGTAGGCATGCAGCAAATAACAGTGCATCAAGCATAGTGGAAAGTGATGGAAGTCCTGTGCCTGATAGTAGTCCTGGGCCTGATGGTGCTCTAGTGAATTCTAGGCAACCAAAATCTTCTACCACTATAGATGGAGATGAACACACTCCGGCAGAACTAAATAATTTAAGCAGGAGTAATATGGCTAACGGGAATACTTTAGCCAAAGAAAGTTGTTTGGATATGGATCGTGTCTGTAGAGATGATCTGACCTCTAGTTCTCTTCAGCAAGAGAAAGAACGTAAGGATGTAGAAATTACAGATAAAAGGTCTGGATTTAGCATGCAGCTTACTTCTGGTGAACGAGCAGCAAATTCCAATGCACCACATGCAGTTGTTGCTGAAAATATTCATGGCAGAAGTGGCGTTGAAGTGACTTCAGGTCTGTCATTCAGGATCAATTACATGATAATTATCTGGTTCTTTGTATTAAAGTTTCTCAGTTTCTTCTTCTTCTTGTTTGTATTCTACATAGTTTAGTTATGTATATTTGTGTTTTCCAATCTTTCTGCAATACTGAGAATATTTTGAATTTCAAGGGTGTGGTGCAACTCATTTGGGACATAGTGATAATACTAGTGAGGATCATAAGCCTAGCTCTACTGTTGATCCAGTCCCTCCATCAGAGGTATAATTTTACAGTTTTGGCAACTTTAAGAACACAGCTTGTGTTTTAATTACCAGTTGAGTTAACAAGAGGGTCTTTCTTGTTGCTTTTCGGTATAATCATGTTACTTAAGTCTATTTTGTTGTTCAGGGCGTTGATCTTACAAAACCAGCTTTAATGGCAAATGGAGTTTTTAAAGATGGTGCTAAAGTTAGTAAATATCGTGAAGAATCTATTGGGCCTTCCAAAATTGAAAAAGAAGAGGGTGAATTATCACCTAATGGTGATTTTGAGGAGGATAATTTCGGTGTCTATAGAGATACTGGTATGAAGGCTATGCCTAAGGCAAAACAAGGCGTTGAAAGCAGGCAATATAAGGCTGCAAATGAAGAAGGATTGCGTTCTCAGAATGCTGGAGGAGAAAATGATGCAGATGCTGATGATGAGGACAGTGAAAATGCTTCTGAGGCTGGTGATGAAGCCTCAGGTAGTGAGTCTGCAGGTGATGAGTGCTCCAGGGAAGAGCATGAAGAGGAGGAAGATGCAGAACATGATGAAGCTGATGGCAAGGCAGAGAGTGAAGGTGAAGCAGATGGGTTGGCTGATCAGCATTTTGTGGGAGGTGATAGCATGTCGTTGCCTTTCTCAGAATGCTTTCTTTTGTCAGTTAAGCCTCTTGCAAAGTATGTACCAGCAGCTTCACTTGATGAAGACAGGAAAAGTTGTCAAGTTTTTTATGGAAATGATGATTTTTATGTGCTTTTCAGGTTGCATCAAGTAAGGAATCAACCGTTTTGGTGCTTCTTAAGTTCTTTTAATGATTTAGAGCTTTTAAACGTGTTTAATTCCTCACCTGTCTTTGAATTTTCCAGACTCTATATGAAAGAATTCAATCAGCAAAAACAAACTCAACGACTGCTGAATTGAAATGGAGAGCTAAGGATGCTAGTTGCCCAGATCTTTATGCTAGGTGGTCCAACCAACTTTTTTGGTCTTATTAAGTTATTAGTACCTTGTATATTTAAGTTACTGATGCACATGTTTTTTTATTGATGTGCAGATTCATGACCGCACTGTACAATTTGCTTGATGGATCTGCTGATAATGCGAAGTTTGAGGATGAATGTCGAGCTATTATTGGAAATCAGTCATATATGTTATTTACCTTAGACAAGTTACTGTATAGATTGTGTAAACAGGTTTGCTACCTTAAGTTTGTTTATTTATCTTATTTACCTCTTGTTTTCCTACCTAGGTTTTGAATTGTGGTTCTTGCTGCAGCTTCAAACTGTTGCAGCTGATGAGATGGATAATAAGCTTCTTCAACTGTATGAGTATGAAAAATTCAGGAAACCTGGGAAGCTAATTGATTCAGTTTATCACGAAAATGCCCGTGTCCTCCTTCACGAGGAGAACATATACCGAATGAAATTTGTTAAGCACTTTCCTTTTCTTTTTCCTCTCCTTTTTTTTTTCCCTCACATCTTCAGACACCTTTGCTTACGGTTTTTTGTTTCATCTCATAACTATTGCATCTGTTCACCTGATTGTTTCGTATTTATTGTCTCTGTCTGCAGTCATCTTCCCCATCACGTTTGTCTATCCAGCTGATGGACAATGTGATTGAAAAGCCAGAGGCATTTGCAGTTTCCATGGATCCTAATTTTGCAGCTTATCTGCTTAATGATTTTTTGTCTGCCTTTCCTGGCAAGAAAGAGCCACATGGCATTGCACTCCAGAGGTAGTAAATTTTCAGTTTGGATTGAAGTGTTCTTGTAGTTGTACTAAGCATTTCTTTTTTTTTTTTTTTTTTTTTTTTTTTTCCCCAAATTTTGTACGGTGGATAAAAGGTTTTCTCCACTGAATAAGATTTAGCAATGAAATTATAGATTCCTTATTACCAAGGCACCAATATTATGTCAAAAAAGTTACTACTGGGTGTGTGTATATTTATATCCCACATTAAGGATAGTGGTAGTATTTTTAAAACCATAATTAGGTACATTTTGAGTCCCTTTTTTTTAGTACTAAGATTTTAATCTGAAGAAAAAAGATCTGTAAGTGATTCATAATTCAATTGTAGATGGTTTTAGTCCCTTTTTCTTAGTTCTAAATTACGAAACCAAAGGAAAGATTTCTGAAATTTGTCAATTAATTTGTATGCACCATTATTACTCTACCGATATTTGCAGAAACAAGCGTAAATATGCAAGCCTAGATGAATCTTCTGCTACATGTATGGCCATGGAAGATGTTCAATTGGTTAATGGTCTGGAGTGCAGGATAGCTTGCAACTCTTACAAGGTATTCTGATCTCACATATATCCTGCTATTTGCTATAAATTTTTTGTTTGATTTGTTTATACATAGTATGCATATTTTAGTAAGTGTTCCTTATTGTTGAATTGTTGCAAGAACCTTACACATTAGGGCATTCAAGAACTTCTTGAATATTTTAGGGTTTGCTTTTGTTGTCAAAACCAAACTTTTCCACTCTTTTTGGGAATGATAAATAGAAACACAACATAAGATTTCTCCCCTTGGTTCATACATGTTTGTAGTTTATTTGGAATGGGTCTCTGTCCTCTGATCACTGTATTTTCTGGTAGATCACGTATGTTCTGGACACGGAAGATTTCTTCTATCGCAAGAAAAGAAGTTCACCGCAAACCAGATCTTCATATCAAAATCAGGCAAGAACAGAAAGGTTTCACAGATTTTTATCTGCCTCATAACTTTTGGTATTGTCGCCTTGGACTGCCACACTCGAGGTAGATAACATTACATTGTTGAACACTTAACTGTTTCTCTTCCGCACATTATCCAGAAGCAGTCAGAAAATACTAACAGACTGTTTTATATGCTTGTAGAATCGTCAAGGCAGTCAAAGCATAGAAAGAGGCGCGTTCGAGTGGCGCATCCTTCATGTATCATCATATAAAAAGGGTGGTTCAGGAATGTAGTATACTTTCATAAGGTTATAATATATAGCAGCATTGGAGCCATTATTATCTGTAAATAGGGCTGTATGAGTAATGATAATAATGAAATTTTTGTAAAGATATGTTTGATTGTTTTTTTTTTCCCTTTATAGATGATGATAATATCTTTCTTCATTCCTCCTTTTTCCCTTCTTATTTTCATTATGTTTCCTACATTGTAACAAGAAGAAATCAAATGGAGAATGGAAAATTCAATGCGAGATCAGAGCTACTCCATTAGGTACCAAAGGGCCCAAACTTAGTATCACTTGTTTAATAGAGGAAAGTGGTTTTTTTTTTTTTTTTTTTTTTTTTTTTTTTTTTTTTTTCCTTTGAGTTAAGAGACACCTTTTAGTATTTAAAAAATAGGTTGGAGTCGACTAGACACGTTCAAGTTTATTGGTTTATGAAGGGTAATTTTCTAATTCAATAAGACCTTATTGGGTGAGATGTTAGACCCACCTTAAATTTTATCATGGTATCAAAACTTAGGTTCAGTTGAGTTGAGTTTTGACAAGTGGTGAGGAATTAGAGTCGGTAATTATTTCTATCAATAGACATGATCCACATATAGGCTTGACTATGAGGGGGAATGTTGGAGTCTCACATCAATTAGCACGTTCAAGCCTACTGGTTTTATAAGGGGGTACCTCTCATTTAACAGTCTTATTAGATGAGGAGTCAGCCCACCTCAAATTCTATCAGAATTGAATCTAAAGTAAAACTATATAATTTATTCAAAAGTCACATATCAAATCAAATATTAAAGCAAATTTCCTTTGCAGCTTTCAGGAAAGTATGATAAATAAAATTTATATAGGTGGAGGAATCTCTAGAGAAAGTCAGCCCAAGCCCACCCACTCAATCTGTGAGGCTATTCAGCAGATAAGTGGGGGCATTTAGCATAACTCATTACAAAACTACTTCCTTCTTCAATCCTGAAACTTACCTTTGAGTGTTTGCTAGAACATAACATAACAAAAGCTAACTGCTTCACAACTGGTAAGAGTCTATCTCTTGTTGTTTCTCACTTTTTTCAGTTGTTGGGTGCTTTAGTTTTGACTCTTTTATGTGCTTTGTAATTTCTATCTAAATTGTCTTTTTTTAAAGGGAAGTTGTTGGAGTCGAGTTGAGTTTAATGAAATGAAATAAGTTATTTTGTATTGAACAGGTGAAGAGTAAGGGGTGAAAATGGAAACTTTAGCTGTAAAGAAGTGTTTTTCACATGGGTTATCTGGCGTTGTTGCTGTTACTGTGCCTGCTCCAAGTTTTTGCTTCTTTGGGACCAATATGTGCAAGGTTTCGGGAAGTTTAAGAAAAGGAAGTGTCGGGTTGACTGTGAGTGGGGAAATTTTGACGAAGGTAAGAACTTTTGTTGTGGGGTCAAACCAAGTTTCTTCCTTGCAGACTCAAATGGGGGTTTGGGAGGAGCCTGATAATGGGAGTGATAGTGATGAGGAGGAGGAGGAGGAAATGGAAGAAAATGATTTGGATTTTGAGAGTGATTGGGAGGAAGAGAGAAATGGCGTTGATGCTGCTATGAGGGGTGATGAGTCTGCAACAAATCAGTATGAAGAGGAACTTGTGAAAGGTTTTTGTTTTTGGTCTCCCTTCTTATGCTTTGTATTTTTTGATGTCTGTTGTGTCTTGGTGTTCGTGTTCGTTGTTTTAAAAATGGAATTGGGTGTTGTGCTGTGTTTGTGAGCTCATGAAAATCTAGAGAGTTTAGAGGAAAAAATGACTGAAAACAACATTGCTTGTGTATTTTTTATTTTTTTTTCAATTATTAATTTTGCTTGGGCTGATTATTCATATACTAATGGCTCATGATTGCATGAAAGGAATTTGCACACATTATAAAGACCATGTTCTTTAATGTGAAATGAAATGATATATAACATTTTCAATGTAAGTAAAAAAGCATGCAAGAAATCTCAGCAAACTATTCATAGAGTATATTTTATAAAGCAAACTACCTTTTCTTGTTGTTCTTGAGTCTTTTGAGGTTTATTTCACTTTGCTACCCAGCCTGGTACCTTAAGCTGTTTTTGTTTTCTTTCTTCCTATTACTATTTTCTTAATCTGCACTGGTTCTTCTGAAATAAGTTTTGGATATGCTTCACATTCTCAAATACGTGTAATTTTTTTATTCTGCACATTCTTATGATTTTGTATTTTCTCTGTGCTTCAGTAAATATCAAATTATTGTATTTGTGTTCTTTGTTTTGCAGAGGTTGAACAGCTTATGACACCAGAAGAAAGAGCAACTTTGCAACAAAATACCACTCCTAACCTGGGAAAAATTTCAACTGTAAATTATGATTACTTTATGCAGTTTCTCTGTGATTTAGATTTAAACATTTTCTTTTCTTTAATTGACCAATAACAGCAGTCTCCTGCTTTTTATAATTTACTCTTCTTACCGGGAGTATTCATTGAACTATATTCCTCTTTGTTAGAGAATATTTTGAAGGCATTAAACAGCAATTTACCGTTGATGTAGAGACTGATACATATTTTTTAAAATTTCTTATTACTAAGTTCTTCTACCTCCATTGTGCAGGGAAAATGGAATCTGCTGCATACGTTTGCACTATCAGGGCAGATACATTTTATGGACAAGCTACTTGACAATGGCCTTGGTATTGATACTATTGACAAGGTACGTCTACAACTTATATCTGGTAGATTTTCTTTCTTTTTCCCTTATTCGTTTTTGCTTTTAGCCAAAATCTTAGTTAATATGGTGAAACAGGATGGTTTCACTGCTCTTCACAAGGCAATTATTGGTAAAAAGGAGCCTGTAATTAGTCATCTTTTAAGAAAAGGTGCAAACCCACATGTGAAAGATCGGGTGAGAATAACGTTCTCTTCATACAAAATCCACTTGGGTCAAGGTTGAATAAAGAGTTATAGGTTGTATGTTTATCTTGACGCCAGGATGGTGCTACTCCACTTCATTATGCAGTTCAAGTTGGTGCCATGCAAACTGTGAAGTTATTGATCAAATACGGGGTTGATGTCAATGTTGCAGATAATGTGAGTGTAATTCTTAGATTTCCCTGGCCCTATATTCTGCTTTCCAAGTCATAAATTTCCTAGCTCATTTACAATCCTACCTTACAGGAGGGATGGACTCCATTGCATATTGCCATACAAAGTAGGAACAGAGACATTGCAAAAGTTTTGTTGATCAATGGTGCTGATAAGACGAGAAAAACCATGGTAAAGTTTGCAGAACGATATGTTTCACTGAAAAGTTTCAATTGTTCCAATTTTCCTTTTTTCCCATTTCTTAATTTTGTATCATTGAATTATATGGAGGAAGAACTGGTTTTAGATCTGTTTAACAAAGTAATCTACTGATTTACCTACCTTTCTTTATAGTTGCCGAACATTGTTCTGTGCTCTTGATAGCCTGATTTCACTACTTGACAGTTTACCTATATGTTACTAGTTGAATTTAACATTGTTGGTTCATTGTGTTTCAGGATGGGAAAACAGCTCTTGACATGAGCTTATGTTATGGAAAGACTTTCAAGTCTTATGACCTTGCCAAACTACTGAAAATTTTACCACTTGACAGAGACCTATAATTTACGGTCAACACCGAGAATCACTCAACTTCAAAATGGAGCTTGCTGCTAAACCAAATTCTCTACTGCTTGGCGCAAGCCTATGCCTATGTCGCATTTCAAGATGGCGCAAGCCTATGTTCAACCATGCGATTCGTTGTCAGCTAATTCATCTCAACCATCATTGGAGTCGGGACACCAAAATGTATAGATTATCGTGAGCTTAGTGAATGTAGTAGCAGATTGGTGAAATGCAGAAACATCTGAAATTTTGTTAAACTACTAATGGAAGCTAGCTTTAATGCTTAATGGGCTTAGGCACTGTTTCCAGTTCCCAAAAATGTAGTCAATGGTGCATTTGTTTCTCTATTTTTACTCTATCATTTTCAAAAGAATAATACTACACATACATCATTTCCATACAACATTATTCAATTATTTTTAAACCCCCTAAATTTGTTAATTTAAGTAAACATCCCTAAAAAAAAAGTTTAAAAATTGATAAAAACACTTTCACCCACACGCATTTGCCAGATTTTGGTCATCATCGTTGAAAGGTGGCCAAAATATTGTATAATGATGTACTATCGGTTGGATCTGGTTGATAGTGCGTCGATATAACATTTTTTGGCCAGATCCATCGTGAATCTGGTCGTAAAAAGTCAGATCTATGATCAGATATTTGGTCGTTGACGACCAAACGCGGCTAGATTTAGTTGTCAATGGTTAGATCTAACTGTAGATCTGGTCTTTTTCGACCAAATCCAAGATGGATCTGGTTGGAAAAAGTCATCTCGGCGCACGATCAGTTAAATCCAGTCGGTCGTGCGCCGATATGGCGACTCTGGCCATCCTCCGACGGTGGTGGCTGGCTGTCGGTATTTAATGGGTGGGTGGGGGTGTTTTTATAATTTTTAATGTTTTTATTAAAGGATGTTTAGTAAATTAACAAACTTAGGGGATGTTTTTGTTAGTTTCAAATTCTACCTCGTTATTATCATCTAATTCTTACTTTTTAAAAAATATTATCTAAAATATTAAAGGCTTCTTGGTTGCATTTTGGGAATACTACTTTTAGTATTCCAAAAAAAGTTAAACAGTAAAATACCCAAAAATTCACAATATTATTCAACTTTATTTAAACCCCCTAAATTTGTTAATTTAATTAAATACCCCTAAATTTTTTTTAAAAAATTACAAAAACACCCCAATAATCCACATTTACCAGATTCCGGCCACCACTGCCAGAAAATGGCCGGAATCTGGTAAGATGGCGCACTACCGGCTGAATCTGGCTGGTAGTGCACCGATCTAGCCTTTTTCGGCCAGATCCACGGTGGATCTAGATAGAAAATGCCAGATCTAAGGCCAAAGATCTGGCCGTTGACGGCCAAATCTTTGGCCGTAACCAGTCGATAACGACGATCAACAAATTTGTTGGCCGTCGTTGAATAGCAAATACGGCCAGATCTGGCCATCAATGGCCAGATGTAGCGGTAGATCTAGCCTTTGCTGGCTAGATCCACCGTGGATCTGGCCGGAAAAGGCCATATCGGGTACCTTAAGCTGTTTTTGTTTTCTTTCTTCCTATTACTATTTTCTTAATCTGCACTGGTTCTTCTGAAATAAGTTTTGGATATGCTTCACATTCTCAAATACGTGTAATTTTTTTATTCTGCACATTCTTATGATTTTGTATTTTCTCTGTGCTTCAGTAAATATCAAATTATTGTATTTGTGTTCTTTGTTTTGCAGAGGTTGAACAGCTTATGACACCAGAAGAAAGAGCAACTTTGCAACAAAATACCACTCCTAACCTGGGAAAAATTTCAACTGTAAATTATGATTACTTTATGCAGTTTCTCTGTGATTTAGATTTAAACATTTTCTTTTCTTTAATTGACCAATAACAGCAGTCTCCTGCTTTTTATAATTTACTCTTCTTACCGGGAGTATTCATTGAACTATATTCCTCTTTGTTAGAGAATATTTTGAAGGCATTAAACAGCAATTTACCGTTGATGTAGAGACTGATACATATTTTTTAAAATTTCTTATTACTAAGTTCTTCTACCTCCATTGTGCAGGGAAAATGGAATCTGCTGCATACGTTTGCACTATCAGGGCAGATACATTTTATGGACAAGCTACTTGACAATGGCCTTGGTATTGATACTATTGACAAGGTACGTCTACAACTTATATCTGGTAGATTTTCTTTCTTTTTCCCTTATTCGTTTTTGCTTTTAGCCAAAATCTTAGTTAATATGGTGAAACAGGATGGTTTCACTGCTCTTCACAAGGCAATTATTGGTAAAAAGGAGCCTGTAATTAGTCATCTTTTAAGAAAAGGTGCAAACCCACATGTGAAAGATCGGGTGAGAATAACGTTCTCTTCATACAAAATCCACTTGGGTCAAGGTTGAATAAAGAGTTATAGGTTGTATGTTTATCTTGACGCCAGGATGGTGCTACTCCACTTCATTATGCAGTTCAAGTTGGTGCCATGCAAACTGTGAAGTTATTGATCAAATACGGGGTTGATGTCAATGTTGCAGATAATGTGAGTGTAATTCTTAGATTTCCCTGGCCCTATATTCTGCTTTCCAAGTCATAAATTTCCTAGCTCATTTACAATCCTACCTTACAGGAGGGATGGACTCCATTGCATATTGCCATACAAAGTAGGAACAGAGACATTGCAAAAGTTTTGTTGATCAATGGTGCTGATAAGACGAGAAAAACCATGGTAAAGTTTGCAGAACGATATGTTTCACTGAAAAGTTTCAATTGTTCCAATTTTCCTTTTTTCCCATTTCTTAATTTTGTATCATTGAATTATATGGAGGAAGAACTGGTTTTAGATCTGTTTAACAAAGTAATCTACTGATTTACTTACCTTTCGTTATAGTTGCTGAACATTGTTCTGTGCTCTTGATAGCCTGATTTCACTACTTGACAGTTTACCTATATGTTACTAGTTGAATTTAACATTGTTGGTTCATTGTGTTTCAGGATGGGAAAACAGCTCTTGACATGAGCTTATGTTATGGAAAGACTTTCAAGTCTTATGACCTTGCCAAACTACTGAAAATTTTACCACTTGAAAGAGACCTATAATTTACGGTCAACACCGAGAATCACTCAACTTCAAAATGGAGCTTGCTGCTAAACCAAATTCTCTACTGCTTGGCACAAGCCTATGCCTATGTCGCATGTCAAGATGGCGCAACCGCGCAAGCCTATGTTCAACCATGCGATTCGTTGTCAGCTAATTCATCTCAACCATCATTGGAGTGGGGACACCCAAAATGTATAGATTATCATAGCCTAGTGAATGTAGTAGCAGATTGGTGAAATACAGAAACATTCAAGAAACATCTGAAATTTTGTTAAACTACTAATGGAAGCTAGCTTTATTGCCTAATGGGCTTAGGCACTGTTCCCAGTTCCCAAAAATGTAGTCAATTTAGTGCCAGTGTTTCCCTATTTTTGTTCTATCTTATTCTTATAGTTTTCAAAATGCATATTTGTTCCCTATTATGAAAATACTATTATATTTTATTTAAATATTTTAAGCCCCCTTAACTTTGTTAATTTAACTAAACACTCCCTAAAAAAAATTTAGAAATTGACAAAAACATTCCCACCTACTTGTAGTTGTCAGATTCCGGTGGCCAGAATCTGGTATGACTTTTTTTGGTCAGATCTACCGTGGATCTGGTCGTAAAAGGTCAGATCTACAATCAAAGATATGGCTGTTTGACGGCTAGATCTTTGATCGTAACTAGTTGTCAACGACAGTCATATCTTTAGTCGTCGTTGACAACCAAACGTGACCAGATCTGGTTGTCAATGGCTAGATTTAGCTGTAGATCTGGTTGGAAAATATCATCTCAACGCACGACTTGTCAGATCCAGCCGGTTGTGTGTCGATACGATGACTTTGGCCACCCTCCAACGATGGTAGCTGATTATCAGTATTTAATGGGTGGATGTGAGTGTTTTTGTAATTTTTAATATTTTTATTACAAAGGTGTTTAGTAAATTAATAAACATAAAGAGTATTTTTATTAATTTTTAAATCCTACATCGTTATTACCATCAAACCTTTACTTTTTCAAAAACAAACACACATTAAGAGCAAGTTCCTCATTTTAAGTTCAATTCTCTAATATGTTAGCCATTACCAATTAACTCAGAACTTTTCTCTTATTTTTCTCATGTTTGCCCCAAAAATCTTGACAGATTATCACATTAGCAAAACATTCATCAATTTTTTTTTTTTTTTTTCCCGTTTTATGCCATTTTTTTAGTCCATTAACATTAATGATTCAATATTTTAATTATAAGTAACAATACTCATGCTTATGTAAATATCTTAATAATCACAGAATACAGTAGGTGGGGATATTTATACAATCAAATGATTGTTGTTATAATTAGGAAAATATTATAGATGCTACACACTGAACTCTCCATCCTAGGCATGGCAATGGGGCAGGACGGGACAGGGATCTCATTCACCCATCCCTACCCTAAAAATCATTCCCCACCCCGGCCCCATCCCTTCCCCACCCTAAAGGGGAATGTTGGAGGCCCGTCCCGCCCCATTAATTTTATATAAACATAAATTAATTTGAGTATTACCAAACACAATAGTTAATTCTCGTCCATATGACAAACGCTTAAATTAATCATTTAAACATAATTAATTATACATAAATATGGGTCAGGGTTTGTTCTTATTCAATTGTTTAGGGTGAGAGAAATTAGAAAAATATGGGTTTATATAGGTAGGATAATTGTGTAATTAGGTGAAATATAGGGGAATTAGTGAAAGTTAAATATATATATATCTATATATATAATATATTTTTTTTTTTTTTAAATTTATATATATCGGGGCGGACCGGGGGAAAGCATCACCCCTCCTGGCCCATCCCGAGAGGGATTTAAACACCCCCCACCCTCGCCCTTATCCCCAAAAAACTAGGGCTTCTCCGCCCCATATAGGTGGGGCGGGACAGATCCCCGAAATCCCGAGGAATATGTCATACCTACTCCATCCCGACTAACATGAGTGTAGTCTTACCCAATTAGGAAATTATTTGTAAGTTATGTTCAATAGTTATCAATTTAGTATAATTAAAAGAGAAAAAAAGTCTTTTTGTAATAATTTTTTTTTTCGGATTTTATTTTCTTCTGAATATCAAAAACAGCCCATTGTCTCGTCTTGTCAGTCACTCTCGTTCACTTCACTCAGACGCAACTTTCTTCTGAAACAGGTCTGGTGGGTTCTCTCTCTCTTTCTTTTTTTTTTTTTTGGCTTTTCCTAAACTTAAATTTTGTTCTTTTTTTCTTCTCTTTTGGGTTCTTATTATTTACAGTCGTTGCTGGTATCATCTTCGTTTCATACTTTGGTGTGTGTAGTGTTGTTCATCAATGGGGGATGAAAAGATGCTTTTTATGTTGTGGAAGGGAGACATTGTTGCATATACAAAAGCTTAGCGATTGCCAACTCCAACTGGACTTTCTGTAACTTTTTTTCACTCCCTCACATTACCTTACTAACCATGTTCCTATGATTACCCATCTGATTCTGGTTTCTGGTCGTTTTATTCTGTGAAATTGACCCTTTCTGCGTGCAAGTTCTGTAATATGAGTGAAGTTATTCTTGAATGGGAAATTTACATTCTTTGCTCTGTTTATGTCATAAATTCAAGTTCTTTGTGTCAAAGGTTAGTTGTGGCCTTTTCTTGGAACTGGAGGTATAGGCCTATGCTTTGCCCTTTGTTTAGTTAGATGCGAAAACCTACTTTAGAGTTTAATTCTCCTTTTTGTTGCGAGTAATTGTATCTCCATGGATTCATGTTCCATTACCAAAAACAAACTGCTTTTTTCTTTGTTTTTGGCTGTCATATGGTGCCTGTGCTAGAAAGTTTGAATCTTGGAAGTCCTTTTTCTTGTATTTCTAAAGTTGTTGTCGCGTTTCTTCATCATTTATTTGCTGTGGAGTCTATGATATGTCTCTTTCTCTTTAAGGTGTGCGATCCTTCTGTACCTGTGTTTAAAGGTCATGGTTTACCTAAGGAGGCCGGGAGTACCTGGCCTCACACGGGCTTCAGAATGCAATGTATACGTTGGTGCCAGTGACGTTAAAGATGATCTTTTTGGGAAACTTGTTCCTTGCCCATTTCAGGTTGGGGTTATTGACCCTGTATTGTATTTTCTTAATTTGAAAAGAATTCATTGTAAAGGTGAAGTCCCTCTGTTAGGCAAAGGGAATTTATCATTTGTTTGCTGGCTTGAACTTTTGCATACTCTGCAATTGTTCCAAAATTGTTTGAACTTTATTTTCATTGTCTGAGCCTTTCTAAAGTTTTGACATTCTCTAAAATACTTCTTGCTAAAACTGCATTGAACCACCTATTTATGTATATTGGCATAGTATATTAAGACTAAATTCTATGAGTTTCTCTCTTCATATTGATTATTTTGCTGATTTTGCTTTGTTCCAGGAACCAGCGTCTTTTGGTGGGAATACATCTGATGAGGTTTCTTCTCCAAGAGGATGCGCATGTACTTACACTAGATCATGCTGTGATGCTTAAACTGATAATCAATGCATATTAGAATTTTAGTTTGACAACATTTTTGCATATTGTGTTATATGCATAATATGAACAATGGTGCTAAATTGAGGAAAATATTATCTTTCTTTAATATGATACTTCCAATGGTCGGAATTCAGTAAATCAGTTTCGAAATCAGGACATGTTAGGTTACTGTAGAAAATTTGATGCTTTAACTATATTTTTTATGTGATTGCCTTATTAATCAGAATCAACTGAAATCTTGGGATTATGGTGACCACACCTTCACTCAGTACACAAGTTCTGTCCTTGTTTTGTTTTGTAACCTTGGTAAATGGTGTTTGCAAAGTGGTCTCGATAGGCTGTATTAAGACTTGATTATGCTTTAACTATATTTTTTATGTGATGCCTTATTAATCAGAATCAACTGAATCTTGGATATTGGTGACCACACCTTCACTCGTACACAAGTTCTGTCCTTGTTATGTTTTGTAACCTGGATAATGGTGTTTGCAAAGTGTCTCGATAAGAGCTGATATAGACTTGATTTGCTTTTGTAAGAATTGTATACCTGATTTGACTTTTTTGTTTTGTGGGATCTTGGATACATTTCAACACCCTCTAAATCAAGCAAATTCTTCTAATTGTGTGAGTTACTGCTTTGATTCTTCATCTATATTTGTGATCCATGTGAGCTATCCACCCCCACCAACCCGCCCAACCCAAAAAAAAAAGTGCAATGATTATTCTTTGTTGATACCTGATTCTTTCTCATGCCAAAATATGACATGTTTAATACTCTGGTTACTTAATGGCATAGTTTTTAGTTTTCGTTGACTTAATGGGCAAGAAGATAATATTTGTTTATGTCCAGTGCTCCTGTGTTCTTAAGTTTGATGGTGCCTCGAAAGGAAATCCTGGACTAGCTGGTGCGGGAGCAGTTTTGCGTGCTGAAGATGGCAGTATGGTGTGTAATTACTCTGATTGGATGTTCAGCTTCTAGGTTGTTGTATCTTTATAAGACCTAACTCTCTCTTACCCTGAATTTTGGTAGGTCTGCAGACTTCGAGAAGGAGTTGGCATTGCAACCAATAATGTTGCTGAATATCGAGCTGTGCTTTTAGGATTGAAATATGCTCTTAAGAAAGGGTTCAAAAACATTCGTGTCCAGGGGGATTCTAAGCTTGTTTGTATGCAGGTATTTAATTTTATCATCCTTAAATTTAATTGTAGAAATGGTACATAAGAGAAGGTTATGTTAGTGCAAGTTTATTCAAATTTGCAGAAAAAAGAAAAAGGACTAGTGAAATTATGAAGGAAAAGTGAAATCTTGATACAAAATGCCTTGCAAGAGGTCAAATTTCTTGCATGCTCTTTATGTGAATATGTGTTGACAGCTTCTGTTGAAGTAATATGGTCATTATTTATCACTTTCTTTTTTCTTGATGAACATCATTGCCTTCTTTCTAATTACTTGAGGATTTTTCTCTGTTCTGGTAATTAGTTCTTATTTTAATGAGAATTCATCATGGAATAGATTCAGGGACTATGGAAAGTCAATAACCCGAATTTGGCTGGCTTGTGTAAAGAGGCAAAGGAGCTCAAGGATAAGTTTCGGTCATTTCAGATCAGTCATGTTTTGAGGGTACATTCTGATAATTACTTTTCTAGGTTATAGCTCTGTTTTCTTGTTATATTTGTGTTCATCTTCTCTGAAATTTGGTTTGTGATTATCATTTATTGAAAATTCATTTTTCCCCATGGCTATGAGTTTTCTAATCCATGACAAAGTAGCCAGCTATAATAGTTTTTGTTTTCTTCTGATTGTGAGGTCATTACTGGCTTGTGTTATATGCTGAGTTGCTATCATAATTTTTTCATTTTAAACGTGCAAATAAGCCTTAAAAATGGAGTATATTGGATTTGATAAATTTTGAGTGATATTGACAATTAATCGTTATTCATATTAATTCTTTGGTTTAGATATTACTCTGTATTCAATCATGATTATGACTCATAGATGCAATGTAAAATATGTTTGAGATTTTATTGTTTACACAGGCAATTTCAAGCATATGTTAGTGAGTGCATTCTTTACATTCTTCCTTTATCTGAATTTTATTGTTGTTGTTTGTGTCTGTATTTAGTTTTTGCTCTCAGAACCATTTTGTCTGACATATTAATATTCATTTTCCAAGGAATACAATTCTGAAGCTGATGCTCAAGCTAACCTGGGTGTACACCTCCTAGGTGAGGGCCTTCTCTCTCAACTGAAGTTTTTAACTATTTATGGCTTTGAAGGTTTATAATGTTTCACATCTTAGCTTAAGTTTTAACAATTGAGTCCAATGCTTATGCAGATGGTCAAATTGAAGAGGATATTACAATGGGGAGTGCAAGTACCAGAAAGGCAAGCTACTATGTTTCTATGCTGAAAAGAAAAATTTGGTAGATGTGTTTGGACTTGCCATCACTGACACCATTATGTTTATGTTCTTTTCCAGGTGAAATGAATGAAGTAGATAAAATTCCAAGATGTTCAAGGAGTATTGGAACAAATACTGTAGTTAGCGGTCATGGTTTAAGCTTATGCATTCTCTTCAAGCAGCCAGTTGTGCTGTTGGAATTTCCAGCTTAATGGGAATTAATTTTGGGGCTCGACTTTTGTTTCTCTGGGCGGCTGGATGTTTAACTAAGTCTTCTATGAATGACATGTAAATCCTCAGAAGAATTCTTCTTATGTAACCATGATAATACACAAATGTGCATAACTGCATATTGACACCAACTCCAGAGACCTTCAGTTGCAATTTCTAGACAGCACCTTCATTTGCAATGTAGCTCATGCTTTTCATTTACACCTTATTGAAATATATTTTCATAGTGTTCATCTGATTCTGGTTGTATTTTGGTTGAAAAGTATTTAGATAGTATTACAGGGAATTGTTAAGATGCCGCCATACCGTACAATTAGTTTTACCCTTTTCATTTCTTCCTTTTTTTTAACCAAGAAGTCTTTATTAGTTTATGCATATTTTGGAAGAGCTTAATGCAGTCGAGGGAAAGTGGGACATTAGCGTAACAACCCACTACCATAGTTTCTCATTTGAATTTGAATTATGGATGCTCAAATGCGAATCGAATGTAATGTTATGTGTTTATTCACACAAATCTAATTCATCTAGGTTAATTACAAATGAATTATCACCGTTTTTTACTTAAATTATGGATGTTTATATCGAGAATTGAATGTAATATTATGTGTTTATTCATACTATCTCTAATTCGTCTTAACCATCGAGGCTATTCATAGATGAGTTTCTTTGCGTTCTTTGAATTATGTGTAATCAATCCTTGAACCATCTTGAACCATGATCTAATGACCGGTTAGGAGATTAATATTTGATAAAAATTGGAAGTTTTTCACTTGAACATTTTTATGTTATGATAAGTCGAAGAGTAGATTAAAAAATATTTGCTATTGTAAGCTGTAACAGATAAAACAAGAGAGGTTGAAATCTATGGCTCTCAAAAGTAGCGTAACTTAAGATATATGTGAATATTTAGACACTAGATAATCTCTGTGAACTGGATAGGAGACCAAAACGCCACTTGAGTTTTACCGATAAGTTGAGAAGGGTCACTTGGCTTCACTCTTAAACTGAACATCACCAAAATGGCCACAGTCTCAGCCTCTTCAACTCTACATTCATCTTACATAGTCAAACCTCGGACTTACAGACCAAGCTCTTGTCGTTCTTTCGCAATTTCCATGAGAACCCACCAGTTTCAGACCAAGTTGACTCTGAAGAGTGACGGCAGGAAGTCGGGTTTTGAGGGAATGAGAAGGTTGAGGTCAGGTGAAGAGGAAGGAACTTTAGTTACCGAACAAGAAACTGAAGGAGTACAAGAACAAGAACAAGGAGAAGGAGAAGACACAGTTGTTGCTGCGGAGGAACAACAGCCTGTTGCTGTTCCTGTCTCTCCTTCGGATAAGGTCACCATGCACTTCCAGGTACATTGTTCTGTCTTGTGCTTGTCTCTTTCTTATGTTTCTTGCAAATTTTTGTTGTAATTTTTAAGCCCCATTAAGATAAATGAATGAAGATTGTACTTTTTTTGGTTTTTGCTTACTTGAATTTTTGAATTGTTATTGAAGTTTGATTAGAAATGCTGATGTTATTGCAAAGTTTAGTTTTTCTCAATGTTGCTAAAGCAAAGCAGAGGTTTTTCCTCAGAAAGTGAAACATTTAGATGCTTTTTGTAAGGGATATGGTGCTTTTAACTTGGAATTTATGTTTATTGAGTGCATATTTATGCTTTGAGGCCCTGTGTATTTAATTTAATGTGTGTCTTGTAGATTATTGATTTTGCATATCTTGAATTTCATTCTTACTCATTTTCTTATTGATATTTGTTCTACACAAATGGTGTTTTGAATGTGTCCAAGAAATCGTTCTCTAGACTCCTTTTCTTATGTTTTATTGCTGTAAATGTTGGCCTTCTTTTAAGACACTTTTATAATAGATTGCTAATTGTTGATTTTGTTCTGTGTATGAAGGCGGATGGAACTATGAATGAAACGTCTATTCCTAATGTGACAACAGCCTTAAAGGTAATCGAGTTTTGTTCTTTAAAATTCGTATTTGTGTATGTCTTTGCGCTAGTGTTTTCATTCTTATTTTTGTTGAATGATTTGCATGCAAAGAGATGTGGTAAAAGTGTTTGTGAAAGGAAAAAGCTTGCTGTTGTATTATACTTAAAAAAATTTGAGTACGTAGTGGAGATTGATCTTGGATCAACTGCAAAAGAGGAAGCCAACCAATAAATTAAGCTTAACATAGAACTTGCTGTTAGATTACACTCCAGTAATCTTCTGTTTGATAATGAACAAATGGGTAACAAGTTGATTTTTGGTTAATTCCGATGATGTGGTTGGATGTTAATTCTTATCGGATTTTGGTGCAAACTTCTGACACTGTAACTGGGAGATCAAAGCCACTTTTGTCTGGAAATGGGAGACATTCAATGTTTGAAGTATGAAAGACAAGGTGTCTGGAACTGTAGTGAAGCACATCTGTGATGTTGAATATTTTGAACCATTGGCAAGATAGATTCTCCCCTAATTTGTAGCAAGTGACTATTCTTACTTTAAATAAGTGGAGGAATCTACGTTTTCTGGTCAGCTTGTCTTTTTAAGAGTTATTAATCAATCTTGAATGGATTTTTTCCAATAACAAATTCACTATGTGGAACTTTTCTGTACTCAAAGCTTGGTCATGGTCTCACTTACACAAGAAGTCATCTTTTATTTTATGAGCTTGAACATTGCTTTAATGTGTTCTTTTGCAGGGAACCGAGGGAATTACAGATTTAAAAGTTCAAGTCCTTGAGAGTATTGCAACTGTTGAGGTATGTATGATATTACATTTTTGAGATTGAAGTTCACCTCCCATGAGCATGGTCTTTTTATGTTTTTTTCTTGGATTGAAGATCTCATGAGTTGTGAAAGTACTCAAATTTCAACACGTACAAAAAATATTATCATATTGACTTTGTTCATATATATAGCGCTTCGTCTTGGGTTAATTGCCTAAAAAAATATTAAGTTTTTTCCTTTCTAGATCTTGTTCACAGAAATTGCCCCTATAATTCTTTTCTATTTACAGTAATAGCTAGGTAGAGTATGTTTAGTCTGGTCTCCTGAAAGAGATATTGATACTTAATCTCAATGTGTAGTGTGACCCTTTAATTCTTTTTATTCAGTTGAAGAAACAAACAACAGTACAAGCTACAGGCGCGGCTGCTAGTTTGATTGAGATCATACAGGGTTCAGGCTTCAAGTTACAGACACTGAATTTGAGTTTTGAGGATGAAGAGGAAGTTCTTGTCTAGATATTACGCGTCGATTTTTTAAAATTCAATCATGGAAAGGAGGAAAGTTATCTTTGATGTCCTTTTTTCCTCAAAACCTTGGTATTGGACTATTAGTTAGGCATATTCTTGAGAGAAACTGTATTTTCACTTACTGTTTCCATCAATGTTAAAAGTCATTGGTTGTTGACCTTATGCTTGAGATACTTCTCAAATTACAATATGGCGATCGCTGTGTGGTATAGTATGTGCGGTGATTATACCATTGCTATCGTAGTTTTATAGCGCACAGTTAAGTTCCAGTTCAAGTCCTTCTCTAGACTAGTATTTCAGCCATCGAATATGTCGAGAAAATACAATATTTCAACCTTCTTCCTGAATTCCCGTCTTGCTTCTTTTCATTCTGTGAACTAATGGTGTTGAAAACTATGTTAAGGCGTCAAAGAAGTAGTATATAAAAGTAAAGATTCCAAGTAAATGAGCTTGGGAAAAAAAAAAAAAAAAAAATTCTTGTAAACCATGAAATCCAGGCGTTATTTTAGTGTGTGCTGGGAAATGAGAAGTAAAGGGAGATAATTCAGGAGCCATGTTGTGGCATGCAATTAATTGAATACTGAATTTTTTAAGCGTACTGCAGCATAATCATTCTGAAGTTTTAGCTCAATCAAAGCTCCTGCCCATACTTGGGATGGGACATGGCCTCATCATGTCCCAAGAAGGTCCCTTTCCTGCCCATGCCTCGAACTCAAAGGAGCTTCATTTTGAATGAAAATGAAATAAAGTGACAGCAACATATAACCACTCATTCTTATGCAAAAATAGCTCTGCAAGAAGAAACATAGAAAGAAGATACAACCCTTAATTGAATGTAATTCAAATGTGTTCCACCTGCAATTTTTTTTTTTTTTTTTTTTTTTTTTTTAATGTGAAGTATGGTGTTGTAGACTTCTGGTTAAGTTTCTGATATCATATTATTACTATCTTCTTATCCCTTCCTGCAAAAAGGGTAGTAAAACAAGTCCTTGTTCTTCATCATTGTATGCTTGTACATCAATCAATAATAACAAGAGGCAAGCCCGTAGCTTAGAGGATTAGAGCACGCGGCTACAAAATTGATTTGTAACACAGAGAAGCGAGATAGATACGTTATCTTAATCTACTTTTGGGAGTCTATGTTAGGATCTAATTGTTGAAATTATTGAAAACGGTTTTTTCTTGTTCCAATCGCTTGTCTTTACCATAACTTATTAGTTTTATATATTATTTCTTGATCTTTAATCGTTTGAAAAAGGGCAACACCACATTCCGTTTTCGTGATTTCCATTTATGTAATGAAGAATAAAGGTAAATTTTTGATAATATGTTCATCAGCTTACCACCATTCTATGCTGTAATGGTAAGAACAGAGTTCCCAGAAGCTTCAAAACAAGAAGGTTATGCCAAATCTATCACTAAAATTTGATTCTAATTTTTGTCCAGGGGCATATGCCACTAGCTTTCTAGTACTTTTTTGTATCATAGTGAAAAAGTCAAGCTGTGGGGCAAAGCCTGGCCTCTCAGTCTCCCTCTGCTACTGCTACTGTTGAGATATTATTTCTAATTGGATACAGCCTTTGGATACTTAGAAAAATACTCCAAAATAAAGTTATTGAAGATGAAGTTGGATCTATGTTCAATATGGTGTTCCTTGTAAGTGTATAAATGCATACATTACAACGAAATTTTATTCATTAAAAAGAAAAGAAAACACACCAATCATTCAAAGTTGGTAATAATTTTCTTGACCTGTCATGAGAAAAGGATTCACATGCAACTTACCTGTAGAGGGCCCTCGGCCAACTGAGATTTAACATATTCTTCGTTGGACATAAATCCAGAAACATTTTCTTGCTAATTACTAATATGTCTCAAATCTTGAGATAATGCTGCAATTAGTACTAATAAAAGTTAAAAAAAAAAAAAAAGAAAAATAATAGGGTTTGTGATGACAGGCACTTTATCAAAAGAAAACCAGTGGGATTCCTTTTCCATCAAACTGGAGGACACAGTCCCAATTTTCATGTAGCCATTGTCTTGTCTGTTTCTCAGACAGACAGGAAAAAGATAGAGAACGAGATAGACTTCAACTGTTTGAATGATGTTCTCGAGGGTTGTCATTGGGATCTACATTAGTTGTGATGTAATGAGCTAGGCAAAGCTCTAGATTAGTGAATCTTGCTCATTGATTATTATTATTATTTTGACTACTGTTTATAACATGTGATGCCACATGTACAGAACTCAATGTATAGAAAAAAAAAATCCCACTTGCCCTGCTTAAATTGTTTTTATAACTTCAGTTCAGGAAACTTTCTGCAAGGATTATGATCATTTAGCAAGTTGAGCTGACCAAACAGTCAGTAATTGTCATTTTTCTGAAGGTATAAGTAATCTTATCATTGTCAATGGACATGGATTTCTATTCCCATTACCAGCAAAATCAAAGGGATAAGAGGGCAGATGCCCCCACTGGAGGCATTGTGGAGAGTTATTGTTGGCGAATGGCAAAGGCAGTAAGGCACAGGGAGGTGAGTCCAAATCCAAATAGTTTAACCCAACAAAAAATTTATCTAAAAAGAAGTGAGATGACCAAACCAGGATGTAACTTGTTCCAAGTTTTGGCAGACATGGCCTCGTGTGCGGGTTAATAAAAAAGATATTTGACATGTGAATGGTACTGATAACAGATATACTAATTTATCAGACATGGTCAGGTTTTTGAACTGCTAGCCATAAGTTATGTGCTCAGTGATCTGGTGAAGCTGGCATTGTACATTTATTGAACCAAAGCCAGCTGGTAAATAAAGATCTATTAATCTTTCACCTCTGTCTCTCTCTATATATAGTACAAGTTTGTGCTTGCTTCAAAGCATCAACCGCTGTCTAGCTCTTCTGGATGCTTGGGTTCCTTTCTTACCCAACAATGGCTTTCAGACCTCTGCTCCTTCTATTGGCCACTTTTCTTGTAGTTTCTGCAAGGGTATGCCTCTTTGTCTACCCTTGAGTACTATTCTCACATCACACTGAGTACATGTAATTTTTTAATGGCTAAATGTGTAATTTTGTGCTTTTTTTTTTTTTTTTTTTGGTAGGTTTCATCTAGCAATGAAGAGGAACTTCTGTTTGGAAAGGTAAATTCATGGACAATGTTTACTTAGCATTGTTCAAAAATGTGCAGAAATATTGTCATTTTTCTCTAGCTACAATGTAAGAGTAAACAAAGTTGTTTGCTACTTCGCTATTTGAGTTTTATATTGACAAGTTTGATTACAGGCACCAGCTCCACCACTAGTGAAGACACCACCTACTGCTACTCCACCACCACTGGTGAGCCCACCCAAGGCAACTCCACCACCGCTGGTGAAGCCGCCCAAGACTACTCCAACACCAGTGAGCCCACCGCAGTCCACACCGCCACCGCCAGTGAGCCCACCCAAGGCCACACCACCTCCACCAGTGAACCCACCTAAGGCCACACCACCTCCACCAGTGAGCCCACCCAAGGCCACACCACCTCCACCAGTGAGCCCACCCAAGACCACACCACCATCCAATTAAATATGTTTGAGATTTTATTGTTTACACCGGCAATTTCAAGCATATGTTAGTGAGTGCATTCTTTACATCTCTTCCTTTTCTGAATTTTATTGTTGTTGTTGTGTCTGTATTTAGTTTGTGCTCTCAGAACCATTTTGTCTGACATATTAATATTCATTTTCCAAGGATACAATTCTGAAGCTGATGCTCAAGCTAACCTGGGTGTACACCTCCTAGGTGAGGGCCTTCTCTCTCAACTGAAGTTTTTAACTATTTGGCTTTGAGGTTTATAATGTTTCACATCTTAGCTTAAGTTTTACAATTGAGTCCAATGCTTATGCGAGGTCAGATTGAAGAGATATTACAATGGGGAGTGCAAGTACCAGAAAGGCAAGCTACTGTGTTTCTATGCTGAAAAATTTGGTAGATGTGTTTGGACTTGCCATCACTGACACCATTATGTTTTATGTTCTTTTCCAGGTGAAAGAATGAAGTAGATAAATTCCAAATGTTCTAGGAGTATTGGAACAAATACTGTAGTTAGTGGTCATGGTTTAAGCTTATGCATTCTCTTCAAGCAGCCAGTTGTGCTGTTGGAATTTCCAGCTTAATGGGAATAATTTTGGGGCTCGACTTTTGTTTCTCTGGGCGGCTGTATGTTTAACTAAGTCTTCATGAATGACATGTAAATCCTCAAAGAATTCTTCTTATGTACCTGATAATACTCAAATGTGTATAACTGCATATTGACACCAACTCCAGAGACCTTCAGTTGCAATTTCTAGACAGCACCTTCATTTGCAATGTAGCTCATGCTTTTCATTTACACCTTATTGAAATAGATTTTCATAGTGTTCATCTGATTCTGGTTGTATTTTGTTTGAAAAGTACTTAGATATTACTAATATTACAGGGAATTGTAAGATACCACCATAGACCATACCGACAATTAGTTTTACCCTTTTCATTTCTTCCTCTTTCTTATCCTTTTTTTTTTTTTTTTTTTGGTTTTTTTAATCAAGAAGTCTGGATCAGTTTACTAATACTTCGACTAATCTTTAGAGGGACTAATGCAATTGAGGAAAGTGGGAAACTAGCGTAGCAATCCTCTACCACAATCTCTTACTTAATTATAGATGTTCATATAAGAATCGAATGTAATATTACGTGTCTATTCAATATCTTTAATCATTTTATCATCTAGCTATTCACATACGATTATCATAGTTTTTTGCTTAATTATGGATGTTCTATCATCTTAATCTCTAGGCTATTACATATGATTTATCATATTTTTTCATTTAATTATGGATGCTCATATCGGAAATCGAATATAATATTATGTGTTTATTCATACTATCTCTAATTCGTCTTAACCATCGAGGCTATTCATAGATGAGTTTCTTTGCGTTTTTTGATTATGGTGTAATCAATCCTTGACCCATCTTGAACCATGATCTAATGACCGTTTAGGAGATTAATATTTGATAAAATGGGAAGTTTTTTCACTTGAAAATTTTATGTTGATAAGTTGAAGAGTAGATTAAAAATATTGTATATACTTGCTACAGTAAGCTGTAACTGATAAAACAGAGAGGTTGAAATCTATGGCTC